AACTTTGCTGTTGGTGTTGATGGGAATCCACAACCTTGTTACTTCCACTATTTTAGATTGAGGTAATAGTATTTACGTTACTTTTTACATGTGATTTACCTATGTTATAAATCCTCGAGTATTGTGTGTGTCAGCATATCGATCCAGGGATGACACTTAAGCACAGAGGCTTGACCATCTGAGGTCGGGTCGCTACAGTCAGATCAACAATAATGCATATAAGAGTCACTTCGACAATTTAATCATGGTCTTCTCCTATCGACCCCCAAAGGAAAGAAAAGAAATAAAACTATTTACACGGGAGAGCTCCCAACAAGCAAAAGAAGAACACGAAATCTTTTTGGGTTTTCTTTTTAATTACTACTACAAGCATGGAAAGTAAACTAATTAAAAACTACAACTAATTTTTTTTCATTTTTCTTAAGGTTTATTAAACACACAAGAAGAAAGCATAAAAGGGGAAATAAACTAGCATGGATGATACAATGAAAAAGTATGAGCACCGACATCTAGCAATGAGTGTGTGAACATGAATGTAATATCTGTGGGAAATACTTACTCCCCCAAGCTTAGGCTTTTGGCCTAAGTTGGTCTATGGCCACGGCTCGCCTGACGGATATCCATAATAATAGTTGGGGTCGTACTAAGATGCAGCGGCTATCGCCTCCTGAGCTGCAGCATGGCAACGAGCGGCCTCCGCCCTCCTCTCGTACTCATCTGCCTCCTCTCTGGTAATAACATATCTTCCCTTTGCCTGATAATCAAAGAAGGCAGGAGCAGGGAGAGTAATACGGATAGCACGACGTCTGTCAATGATTAAGCGATACTGGAGAGGTGATTCATTCCTCTCGACAAACTGGTGGTGAACCATAGCCTCATAATCCAAATAAGCAGGAGGCAACTCAATATCATCTTCATGTATGGCTATACCAAGAAAATTAGCTATGCGGGTTGCATAAATTCCACCAAAGAAATCTCCATTAAATCTATTAAGATGCAACCTACGTGCAACAATGGCTCCCAAATTATAAGATTTATCTCCTAACACAGCACTCCTAAGAATACTGAGGTCAGGGACACACATGTGACATGCCTCATCTTTACCATTAATGCATCTACCTATGAAGAGAGCAAAATAATGTATAGCAGGAAAGTGAATGCTCCCTATGGTAGCTTGTGTTATATCTCTAGATTCCCCCACAGTTATACAAGCAAGGAAATCTCTAAATTCAGATTTGCGAGGTTCCCTGACACTACCCCATTGTGGAAGTTTGCAAGCAGTGGTAAAATTCTCTAAGTCCATAGTGTAATTTTTTTCATAAAGATCAAACAGGACAATTGGAGAATTACGTGAAGATGAAAATTCAAACCTCCTCACAAAGGAACTAGTGAGATAGTGATACTGGCTGCACTTTTCTTCCTCGAAGCTCACGAGATCAGCGTTACGCAAATATGCATTAAATTCTTCCTTAATTCCCGCTTGATCCATAAAGTTTTCCGAAGGCCACACTACACCACAACACTGATGTAAGGACAAAAAAACTGCCGGGAGAAAGCACTTTAAAGGGCACATAAACTGCTGGGACAATGTTTCTCCCGGCAGATAGAACCGCCACGAGAACGGCTGCCGGGGATAACTTCTCCCGGCAGATAATTTTTTGCCGGCAGTTTATTTGCCCTTGCCCGTCTATTTGCCGGCAATTTGTTTTCTCCTGGCAGATTGGGCAAAGTTCTTGAAACATCAATTACCGGCAGTCCAACTGCCTGCAAAAGCTTGTTTACCCGGCAGTTTTTATGCCAACACATAGATTTCACTACCAAATAGTTATAGGCATCCCTAATGTAATACCCATTCATTATGTTCAAACAATGATCAGTACATATTACACAATTTATACATACACTTCACTCAAAGTAACATGTCTCATTCATACACTTCACTCGAAAACCTTAAAGTCGATTTGATAAATTAACATAACAACCATATATATATAAGCAGGTTGTGCCACAAAAGGTACAATACATATATGTTTCTAAATATGTGCCACAAAAGAACATAAGTTTCTTGGGTGCCACACAACCAAAATGAGCATATAGTGGCCTAACAACTGGCAAAATGATCGGAGCAAGTGTATAGGTTCCACAAACAAAGCATAATCACTCTACCATATCTTCAGCAGCTTGAACATCTTCGAAACCTCCATCAACTTCTGTAGGGAAACCTGCAACAAATAAGAAACTCAGAATGGAGCTCTCGTTTCAGATTTTAAATTAGCACATTAAAGATTTTGACATGCTGTAGTTTAAGTCATCGGCATAAATAAAACTCTACTAAATGTGCATCACTTCATAATCACAGCAAGCAATGCTACATCATTAGATGAAGCAGGAATTGTTTGAAGTACACATACAAAATCTTCATGTGCAAACAAGGAAAACAGGAACATGTATAATTGACTTGCAAAAGCAATGACTAAAACTGAGTTAAACATGTATAGCATCATCTCTGGAGTTAATTTAGTACTCTTAGTTCGAATCATTTTTTTTGCACTGACTTAAACTCTACAAATAGGCAACACTCTATACAGTACTATATTGAAAAAAATAGTCAAAGTTGTGTACAAATAGGCAAAACTCTGTACTATACACAATACGGTAGTACAAGTAGGCAAAACTCTGTACTATACATAGTACAACAGTACAAATAGGCAAAACTGGTACTGGGAACAGTTTTATACGCCAAAACAAGGATGAAATTCTGTACTGTACATAGTAGAGTTTAACACTGAGTTCTAGCTCGAAGCCAAAAATTTGTCATGTGCAGATAGGCAAAACATGCTCAGTTCAAATCTTTCTTTTTCTTGCACTGAGATAAACATTTGTACAGAGTCTCCAGGAATGACATAAAAGATTTCACCACAAATAGTAACTATATGTCATCTATCACTCTACCTTGATAACCCAACTCGTACTTGATGTGCCATATCTTGAATCATCTCTTGCATCTCATCATAACTAAAACATGTCATTTGAGAAAATACAAAAACCAAGATAGCAGTAAGAATGTCATCATCTATATCATAAAAGCACATCACCTGTTCTGCACACATATCGTATTTCGCACAACACAAACAAAGATGGTTCTACTTTGGGGCATCAACTAAACAACTTAGTCAGGTGGACTAAACAAGTGGACTGAAGACTTAAAATTAATATCTTTCTTTCATCTCAAATTAAAATGAACTCCAAAGCTCAACTCAGCAACTTAGTCAGGTGTCAGCGAAGCAAATTAAGCTATGCACTTATTAATCAAAAAGGTTCCGTGTCCTTCGATCTAAAGGGCTACTAACAGTACCAGTGTTCATCTATGTTTATTTTTGAGTTCCATTTTTAGAACCATTTCAGGACTATTGCACTTTTACACATTTCATAGCAGCACAAGCTAACAACTATATCAGATATTCCAAATTGGTGGCATGCTCTTTTGGTGATGACAGTAGAATTAGGTCGGAAGAAAAAAGGCACAAAATTTGAAATCTCACCTGACAATGAAGGGGAAAAGGAGGCAGCGCTATTGATCCAGGGGAAGAACGTTGTGGACGGTCGACGCTCTGTTGCTTCGTTGCAGAGGACGTGGAGGATGCGTACCCGCGGGTTCGTGCTCGGTGAAGCTTGCCAGGAGGAGGCCTGCTCGGAGAGGAAGCTAGCTCGTGACGAAGGAAGGCGTTCCACGGAGGATGGTGGTCGTTGGTGGAGTCGTTCGGCGAAAACTGGGTGCTAGTATGATAATAGGTGTCTGTATGTTTAGACAGTTCCAAAACTGGGATGCGTCTAACATGATTCTAAACCATACAATAAATAGAGTGAATCAAAAACACGTGTTTGTGTTGATGCCTTGATGGCCATCAAACATTACTGTGTTACTATGTCGTAAAAAAGTTGAATTCCACCTGAAGAACTTGATTAGAGCTTACATGCACACAGTTTCACTTCCAATATGACACATCCTTTCACAATTCAATTTCAAGAGTTGTAGCTATAAGGTGTCGCAATTGCAGTCCCGTTGAATATAAACCTTATCGCTGCTTTCAAAGCAAGTAGCTTTTACCAGCATATTTTCAGACTTTCAGTGTGTCTATATCTATAGCAAGATTAAAAAGCAATCAAAGGTGCGGCAATGGAAGTCCCATTGAATATAAATGGTATTGCTGCTTTCAAAGAAAGTAGCTTTTACTAGCATGTCTTTAGACTTTCAGTGTGTATATATCAATAGCAAGATTACTACGGCTGGTTATAGTTTCATGAATGTTGACCCTTCTAGTACATTCAGGTTGTACAGAAAATAGTACATAGTAAAATGCAAGATCAACCAATTCTCACACATGAGGTGCTTCCTTTTTGGAAGAGCCCCAAGTTAAGAGGAAAAATATAGATGCATCAGTAACCAAATTATGCAAAGAGAAGCTTCCACACATGTATATGTTTGCTCCCAAGTCCCACCATCAATCCATAAAAAGGATTTTCTAAAAGAAGAATAGAACTGGCATAACTACGGTAAAATTCACTTGTGTTCCTCTCAAATAAATCACTTGTGTTAACCAATGTGATGACTCAGTGTCTACAATCCTGTAGTTTCTAATTAATAGTGGTGAAAATCAGATTATATGTGTGAAAAGAAGCGTTACCAATCATGGAAATTGTGAGCAAGCTATTGTTTCTTTATTCGCTTGCAAGACTGCTGTTTCCTTCTTCTTTTTCCCTACGTATTCTACTCCCTTCCTCTGCAGTGGCAAAACAGAGAATCATATGTATATTGTTAGATGATGAATATTTGCTAAGAAACAATGTGGCCAAATATAGGCACAAAAAAGCAAAGTGTCAGCTCTCCAAGCTCACGAACAGACAAAAGTTCAGAGGCCATGGTGGCTGGCTGTCCATGGTAGCAGGAACAAAATCGACCAAACAATAAGTTGGGAATAACTCCCATCAAACAAAAAAGACTAACAGCCTCGCATCCTCTGAGCAGCCAACAAATTAGACAGAAACCAAAAAAGATCTGAAGGAAGGCCACCTGTATCGGGTTTCCACCATGACGGATCTGAGCAGCATGGTGTGCCAGCGTAGTGCAGAGCGGGCACCGCTCTCCCTGCTGGGTGGAGGAAGCAGTGGCGGGGATCCCTTCTGTCCTCGTCAGCGCTGGGGCGTGGAGGGCCACGGAGAATAGGAGCGCGACAGCATGGTGGTGGCGCGACGACCCTGAGACAGCGGAGGAGCCAAGAAGCAACGGTTCCTCTATCGCTTCTCATCACCACGCTCGCAGGCCAATGGAGGAGGCTCGGACTTCTCCGCGGGGTTTGGTGCGGGAGAGGGGAGCCGAGGATTCAACCTTGCACGACTATGGAAGGAGGCGACGTCGACCTCCACGCACCGGGCGCCATCGACACTGATGGGGGTCGCATAGGTCGGCGGAGGAGATCGAAGGCGGACGGTGGCGGGGGCGGGGAAGGCGGCGTTGGTGTGGGAGAGGGCAGTGTGGATAAGGGTTCGATTTGGGGAAGATCTATTTGGGGCAGCGGCTATTAGGTGCAAACTTTTCGCGGGCCTCTCGCGCGGTACGCGCGCAACTGGGCCAATTTCAGTCTCGCGCCCTACACACACACACTCCGGCAGATAGTGGGCCATAATTTAGTTGTGCCGGCACATACTGTGTCCTTACAAATGAAAATTGTTGCCAGCAGTCTGTGCGTCCTCATTCCTACACTTCTGCCGGCAGTTCTTCTGCCCTTAAGTACTTTTACCGACATACCAACATCCCCGGCAGATAGTTTGCCCTTATTCAACTATTTATCCCGGCAGTTAATGGTCCTTAATTATGTGTTGTGGTGTAGTGCCATTCACAAGGATGCACTGGAGCATCTCTTGGTGGTTCTTCATCAGCATCACACATTGCAAAGCTTGGGTCCTTGCTTCCTTGAAGAACCACCTTGGTACATTTTCCTAAGCATATTTCTTCCTCTGAAAAATTTCTGAAATTTTTAGTAACTTCAAACAAAAGTGAACCAAGCTCAACAAAATTGATAGCAAAAACTCCTACAAGTTCCTAGAGCCTATATCATGCATTAGAACTACTTTTGATAATATAAATTTGACATGCAAGCTCAAGAACAGGGTCACCTAAGCAGCACAAATTTGCAATGAATAAATCACTAGAATAAAAACTAATTGGACCAATGGAGGAGTCACATACCAAGGAACAATCTCCCCAAGAAGTTTCGTGAGAGGTGCTTTGAGCAAGGAGATCAAAAATCGCAGCAAAATGAGCTAGAACTCGTGCTTGAGCTGGATATTCGTGTTTGTGCGAGGAAGAAGAAGTGTGTGGGTGCAGGAATAAATGGAGGAGGGCCACCGTGAGCCCACGAGGCAAGGGGGCGCGCCCTCCACCCTCATGGCCAGGTGGATGCCCCCCTGCTGTGTTCTCGGTGCCAAATATTCTCAAATATTCCAGAAAAAATAAATCATATTTAAATTTCAGGGCATTTGGAGAACCTTTATTTTCGGGGTATTTTTATATTGCATGGATAAATTAGATAACAGACAGAAAATACTATTTTTATTTTGTTTAATATAAATAACAGAAAGCAAGAGGAGGGTACAGAAGGTTGTGCCTTCTAGTTTCATCCATCTCATGATCATCAAAAGGAATAACAAGGTTGATCAAGTCTTGTTAACAAACTCATTCCGATTAACATGGAACCGGAGAAATTCTGAATAACACCATGTTACCTCAACGGGGATATGCACATCCCCAATAACAAGAATATCATATTTCTTCTTGACAATAGAAAGAGGAAATTCAAACCTCCAAAAATAATCGATGGAATGTTTCCAATAGAATTAATACTATGAACTTGAGGTTGTTTCCTCGGAAAGTGTACTGTATGCTCATTACCATTAACATGAAAAGTGGCATTGCCTTTAGTGCAATCAATAACAGCCCCTGCAGTATTCAAAAAGGGTCTTCCAAGAATAATAGACATACTATCATCCTCGGAAATATCAAGAATAACGAAGTCCGTTAAAATAGTGACATTTGCAACTACAACAGGAACATCCTCACAAATACCGACAGATATAGCAGTTGATTTATTAGCCATTTGCAGCGATATTTCAGTAGGTGTCAACTTATTCAAATCAAGTCTACGATATAAAGAGAGAGGCATAACACTAACAGCGGCTCCAAGATCACATAAAGCAGTTTTAACATAGTTTCTTTTAATGGAGCATGGTATAATTGGCACTCCTGGATCTCCAAGTTTCTTTGGTATTCCACCCTTAAAAGTATAATTAGCAACCATGGTGGAAATTTCAGCTTCCGGTATCTTTCTTTTATTTGTAACAATATCTTTCATGTACTTAGCATAAGGATTCATTTTGAGCATATCAGTTAATCACATACGCAAAAAGATAGGTCTAATCATTTCAGCAAAGCGCTCAAAATCCCCATCATCCTTTTTCTTCGATGGTTTGGGAGGAAAAGGCATGGGTTTCTGAACCCATGGTTCTCTTTCTTTACCATGTTCCCTAGCAACAAAGTCTTTCTTATCATAATGTTGATTCTTTGATTGTGGGTTATCAAGATCAACAACAGGTTCAACTTCTATATCATTATCGTTATTAGGTTGAGCATCACCATGAACATTATTATTAGCATTATCACTAGTTTCAGGTTCATTACCAGATTGTGTTTCAGCATCAGAAATAGAAATATCATTTGGATTTCAGGTGTTTCATCAATAGGTTCACTAGAAGCATGCAAAGTCCTATCATTTTTATTTTTCCTCCTTTTAGAAGGACTAGGTGCATCTATATTATTTCTCTGAGAATCTTGCTCAATCCTCTTAGGATGGCCTTCAGGATACAAAGGTTCCCGAGTCATTCCACCACCTCTAGTCATAACTCTAACATCATTATCATTATTCTTACTATTCAATTCATTGAGCAAATCATTTTGAGCCTTAAGTACTTGTTCTACTTGAGTGGTAACCATAAAAGCATGTTTACTAATAAGTTTAAGTTCACCTTTGACATTAGCCATATAATCACCCAAGTGTTCAAGCATATTTGAATTGTATTTCAATTGTCTACCAAAATAAGCATTGAAGTCTTCTTGCTTAACCATAAATTTATCAAACTCATCTAAGCATGGGCTAGCAAAGTTAGTAAATGGGATTTCAGCTTTATCATATCTATAGAGAGAATTTACCTTTACTACCTGTGTCGGGTTATCAAGACCATGAGTTTCTTCAATAGGTGAAGGATTAAGATCATATGTTTCTTCAACAGGCGGTAAATTAAGACCATGTATTTCTTCAATAGGAGGTAAATTCTTAACATCTTCAGCTTTAATACCTTTTTCTTTCATAGACTTCTTTGCCTCTTGCATATCTTCAGGACTGAGGAATAGAACACCTCTTTTCTTCGGAGTTGGTTTAGGAATAGGCTCAGGAAGCGCCCCATTATTTTCATTTGTCAACATATTATTCAATAGAATTTCAGCTTCATCCGGTGTTCTTTCCCTGAAAACAGAACCAACACAACTATCCAGGTAATCTCTAGAAGCATCGGTTAGTCCATTATAAAAGATATCAAGTATTTCATTTTTCTTAAGAGGATGATCAGGAAAAGCATTAAGTAACTTGAGAAGCCTCCCCCAAGCTCGTGGGATAATCTCTTCTTCAATTTGCACAAAATTATATATATATATCCCTTAAGGCAGCTTGTTTCTTATGAGCAGGGAAATATTTAGCAGAGAAGTAATAAATCATATCCTGGGGACTACGCACACGACCAGGATCCAGAGAATTAAACCATATCTTAGCATCACCCTTTAATGAGAACAGAAATATTTTAAGGATATAAAAGTAACGAGTTCTCTCATCATTAGTGAACAGGGTGGCTATATCATTTAATTTAGTAAGATGTGCCACAACACTTTCAGAATAGCCATGAAAAGGATTAGATTCAGCCAAAGTAATTATATCAGGATCAATAGAGAATTCATAATCCTTATCAGTAACACAGATAGGTGAAGTAGCAAAAGCAGGGTTAGGTTTCATTCTAGCATTAAGAGATTACTGCTTCCATTTAGCTAATAACCTCTTGAGTTCGTATTTATCTTTGCAAGCTAATATAGCTAGAGTAGCTTCTTTTTCAAAAACATAACCCTCAGGAATAACAGGTGATTCATATTCATTAGAGGGAGAGTCTTCATCATCACTTTCATCAATATTATCAGATTCAATATTTTCACTCTCTCTAACCCTAGCAAGTTGTTCATCAAGAAATTCACCAAGTGGCACAGTAGTATCAAGCATAGAAGTAGTTTAATCATAAGTATCATGCATAGCAGAAGTGGCATCATCAATAACATGCGACATATCAGAACGAATAGCAGAAACAGGCTTAGGTGTCGCAAGCTTACTCAAAACAGAAGGTGAATCAAGTGCAGAGAGCTAGATGGCAGTTCCTTACCTCCCCTCGTAGTTGAGGGATAAATCTTGGTTTTTGGATCTCTCAAGTTCTTCATAATGATAAGAAGATATAAATCCCAAGTGACTCAAAGAATAGAGATATGCTCCCCGGCAACGGTGCCAGAAAATAGTCTTGATAACCCACAAGTATAGGGGATCGCAACAGTTTTCGAGGGTAGAGTATTCAACCCAAATTTATTGATTCGACACAAGGGGAGCCAAAGAATATTCTCAAGTATTAGCAGGTGAGTTATCAATTCAACCACACCTGGATAACTTAATATCTGCATCAAAGTAATATGATAGTACTGGTAACGGTAGCAAAAGGTAATGATAACAAAAGTAATGTTTTTGGTATTTTGTAGTGATGATAGTAATAGCACGGAAAAGTAAATAAGCAAGGAACAATATATGGAAAGCTCGTAGGCAATGGATCGGTGATAGAGAATTATGCGGATGTGGTTCATCATGTAACAGTCATAACCTAGGGTGACACAGAACTAGCTCCAATTCATCAATGTAATGTAGGCATGTATTCCGAATATAGTCATACGTGCTGATGGAAAAGAACTTGCATGACATCTTTTGACCTACCCTCCCGTGGTAGCGGGGTCCTAACGGAAACTAAGGGATCTTAAGGCATCCTTTTAATAGAGTACATGACCAAAGCATTAACACATAGTGAATACATGAACTCCTCAAACTACGGTCATCACCAGTAAGTATCCCGATTATTATCACTTTGGGGTTAACGGATCATAACACATAATAGGTGA